CCCCCAGAAATGATTTGCACCCCACCCCCAGAGGAATTTGGCACCGCTCCCAAAAGCTTTTCACTCCCGCAAATTATAGTATATTTTGATTTGATAGTTTCATATTTGATTATTCTTACTACTAAATTTGTAAAATTACCCGCAATATTATGGTCTCAGAAGTCGCCATGCAGGCCTAGAAAACAAATTGTGTTAAACTTTTTCTTTGGCCTTTCCGGGCGTTGCTACCAGGCCCCGGCCAAAGAAAGCAGCAGCACCCCCCAGATATTTATCCACCCCCCCTCCGAACGAAAATATGAAAATCCGTCTCTGCAACCTCCTGAAAAACACAAGGAGACCTTGGACGTTTCAAGCAAAGGCCCTTCATCAGCAGGTTAGAAGAGCTTTTGCTCGAAACCACAAAGTTCTCATTGTATTTGTCAGGTAGTAGCATCCCTAGCAATCCAAAGCTTTCCTGATTAAGGGTGTAATTAGTTGCAATGAATCCAAACTGGACTCAGAGATCCCAAGGACAGTGCAAAGTTTCTGCTTTCTAAAAACACTTGTAATTAATTTACCGTAATTAATTTTAATTTAATTTTAGTTTACCGCAATTAATTTTAATTTGGCACATTAAAAAACCTTCAATATTGGCAGTCAAATGTGTTGTTATTTTCGTTGCAGACTGCCATGAAACATTGTCTTAAAGAGAGTGATATCTGGGTGGAGGGAAACATAACTAAGACTATTCCAAAGAAAACAAAGATATGTTAAGCGTACCATCATGTACTGCCACATGTCTCTCTTCACCAAGCGGTATTGGTTCATATTCTAAAGCAAATGTTTCTTCGACATTGTAAACTTGTCTGACAATATTATCTTCATCAGTTTCCAATGTGTAGCTAGCATCACTGTCAACTACTTGTCGCACAACACGTTCTTCATCTGTTTCTAAATAAAATATATTGTTCGTTGGAAGACAGCAAATCCCCTGTATGCCTAACAATTTGTGGGTCTATAGACTGCATGTTTAACTAAATGCCTCTGTGGTGGAGCAACATAAAAATATATATATCTACTGTATTGCATGATTAAACTAAGCACTCTTAAATTGGTGGTTGACACACTTTGCAATGAATGGTTTTATTCAACCATCTTACTGCTACAAATAAACTCACCATTTAAAAAGAACAAGTCATCAGAAGTATCAGTAACGACATCAGTCACATTCTCACAAATGCCTTTGTAATACTTCAAATATTCTGTTAGAAGCATACTATCTTTAGCTTCAATACATGAAGTACTTGGTACAGAAGCCAATACACTGCTGGTTCCTGGTATAAAGGAAAACATTAGATGGTTAATATATACAGATATGATGCTGTATTTCAACCAAAAACTGGGTTTCCATTTGGTCATCACTATCGTAAACAAGTCAAGAAATCATATGAACAAAATCAATTCCAACCTGGGAAAGCACTTTCATAGCTTCGCTTAACCCCAAGTGGCCATGGTGACTGACTTGAGCATGGCTGATCACTTTCACTGCAGGAGCAAGTATCTGTCGTAGACACAGAAGTGGATGGTGTGGGAGGACAAGGGAAGTTGGTCCTTATTCGTTTTGAAGAATGTGCTTCTGAATTTGTGGGTGAAATATTTTGCAGGTTTTCAAGAAGCAATTCGCTGTAAAGAGGAAATTATGGAAATCAAAACCACTAATTTTTAATCTCATTCAACTACTTTTCAAGACAGTTTTCCACAAGTATTAGCTCTGATATGTCCATTTATTTGCCAATCCCTTATCTAGCTTGCTTTTTGCTGTTTGTAATGTTTACTATTTTGTTTTAACATAGTTTTGTAAATTTTTTAGTGAGTTCGATTAAAGCTTATTATTATTACTGTGATTTTATATTTAATTAATAAAGGAGAGGGTGGGTTAAGATCTTGCATCTAGATAGTTACAGAGTAGCTGAACAAGTTGATGTTCTCTCTTTTTTTGAGAGGAAACAACCAGGGCTCAAAACAACGGCTGGTCAACGCCGTCAATGACTGGTCCAATTTTTAATATGTCAACTTCAGTCCAAGTGACCAATTGATCACAAAACGTTATTTGAGCCCTGGGAGCAACTAGTAATTCCCTCGTATCATAAAAACCACGCTATTGTACAGTATATTCCAGCTCTTGATACTCCTAATTTTATTTTTTTTGGTTGGGGGACGGGTAGTATAGCACCTTCTTATAAGGACAAGTAGTTGCATCTCAGTTCTCCATACTGGTCAATTTTATAGTTTCATAAAACTAGACACACATAGGCGTACCGGGCGGGGGGGCGGTGGGGGGGGGCGGTAGCCCCCCAGTTTGTTGGGCAGTCGGGCAATATTCGATGAACAGTCGGGCAATTTTGGTTTGCAATAAAAAAAAATGGGACAAATTCTGTAAATTTTGTCTAAAATTAAGTAAATTTGGTGGCCAATTTTTGGCAAATTTGTTGTATGTTGTGAAAAATTTTGGTTGTCAGGAAAATTTTTTTGACCCCTAAAATGGTACACTGACCAAAATTTTTCCGGAAAAAATTTTTTGGTACTACTCGGGCACAATCACGAAAAGTCGGGCAATTTTCTTTCCGCCCCCTAATTTTTTCCTTCCGGTACGCCCATGTAGACACAAACTAGAACAAACCTTACCATGCATTTGCTGTGGAGAATTCCTTACATCCAAATATCTCTCCAAGTTGATCATTATCACAGTATACCTTTCTAGGATCAGCAGGATCATATAATGCTTTTTTCTTTATATACTCTGTTAGGTGGCCCATTATCTATAGGAGATGGCATTCTTAAGGCTCTAGGTTTGGATTCCCCAGAGGTATTCAAGTTTAGGCAGGAGTCAAATGAATTCAGAATATGCAAGCTTGGATTTTACAACAGTAATCTATGACTAGGTTAACCAATAGACGAATTTTCAGATTTTGCTCAAGGGGTGCCCCAAAAATTTAGAGGCCGAGGTGAGTGGAATGCAACATGCTTCAGCAGGGGTCTGGAAGCACAGTTGCTAATGGGGGCAAAGCCCCTTGAGATTTTTGGTCTTACATCAAAATCTTTATTCCAATCATACTACCGTGATTTACCACAATGAGCATTTAAATTTCTTTTTTGAAATTTCTCTAGGTGGGGTGGGAAAACCTTTTTGGGGGGTGGGGTGCAAAATATTCTTTTTGAGGGGTGTGCACCAGAAAATCCATCCATGGGTTAACCTAGATCAGAAACCATCACATTGAGAACCATCAATTAAATGGTACATTCTATTTCCTTTCAATTATCCTCTAATGAATGTTTAATTGTCCTCTGTGTGTGGGGGAGGTCAAAGTTACTAATGCAGTGACCTGAGTGTTATGACAACAATCGGATGTTTTGGAATTAAATGTTTGCACAAACTTTACACTGGTATTTCACAAGTATTACCATT